TCTGGAAGTTCTCTGTCAATGTATGCTTGCAGCCATTTCTGTATTACCTTTAGTAAAACTTTACTTGCATGGGATATCAAAGATATTGCCCAATGATTTCTGAATTTCATTGAGTCACCTCTCTTTGGAATGGGTACAAATCATAGTTTCCTGGAGCCTTGTTCTTTGCCAATTCCTTCAATGCACCTTAGACTTCTTCCTTCAGTATCATTGGTTCTTGATCATATTGTTACCTCTTGAAATGGTTGAACATCAACCATTTCCATTTGGTACAGTAACTCTGTGTATTCCTTCCATCTTCTCTTGATGCTTTCTGCATCATTTAATAATTTTCCCAGAGAATCCTTCAATAATAAAAGTCAAGGTTTGAATTTTTTCTTCTGTTCCCTCAGCTTGAGAAATGCTGAGCATGTTCTTCCCTTTTGGTTTTCTAACTCCAGATCTTTGCACATTTCCTTGTGATATTTACTTTGTCTTCTCAAGCTGACCTTTGAAATTTTCTGTTCAACTCTTGTACCTCCTCATTTCTTCCATCACTACGTTGGAGAGCGAGTTTCAGTGACTCTTCGGATATCCATTTTGATCTTTTCCATTTTTTCTTGTCTTTAAAGACTTTTTGCTTTCTACCTGTATGATGTTCTTTATGTCATCCCACAACTCTTCCAGTCTTCGGTCTTTAGTGTTTTATGTATCAAACCTGTTCTTCAGATAATCTCTAAATTCAAGTGGGCTATATTCAAGGTCATATTTTGGCTCTCGTTGACTTGTTTTCATTTTTTTCAGCTTCAGTCTGAATTTGCATATGAGTAATTGATGGTCTGTTCCACAATCTGCCCCTGGCCTTGTTTTGACTGATGATATGGAGCTTTTCCACTGTCTTTTTCCATAGATGTAGTCAATTTGATTTCTGTGTATTCCATCTGGCGAGGTCCATGTGTATAATCATCTTTTATGCTGTCCAAAAAAGGTATTTGAAATGAACAAATCATTGGTTTTACAGAATTCTGTCATGTGATCTCCAGCATCATTTCTATCACCAAGGCCATATTTTTCAACTACAGATTCTTCCTATTTGTTTCCAACCTTTGCATTCTAATCACCAGTAATGATCAATACATCTTGATTGCATGTTTGATCAATTTCAGATTGAAGTTGGTAGAACTCTTCTGTTTCATCCTCACTGGCTTTAGTAGTTGGTGCATAAATTTGAATAATAACACTATTGTGTTATTAGCTGGGCTTCCCTGTAGGCGCATGGATATTATCCCGTCACAGAGTGTTGTACCTCATGACTGATCTGGATTGTTCTTTTTGACAATGAATGCAACATCATTCCTCTTCAATTTATCATTTCCGGCATAGTAAACCATGTGGTTGTCAGATTCAAAATGTCCAATACCAGTCCATTTCAGCTCACTAATGCCTGCGATAGAGATGTTTATGTGTTTCATTTCTATTTTGACAATTTCCAATTTTCCTAGATTCATACTTCGTACATTCCATTTTCCAATTATTAATGGATGTTTTACAGCTGTTTCTTTTCATTTTCAGTTGTGTCCCATCAGCAAATGAAGGTCCCGCAGGCTTTACTCCCACGGACTTTAGTCCATTTATGTCATCACGGTCAACTCCACTTTGAGGAGGCAGCTCTTCCCCAGTCGCATTTTGAGTGCCTTCCAACCTAAGGGGTTCATTTCCCAGCACTATACCTGGCAGTGTTTCTCTGCTATTCATAAGATTTTCAGTGACTAAATATTCAGAAGTAGTTTGTCTCTCCTTCTTCCTAGTCTGTGTTCGTCTGGAAGCGCATCTGAAACCTGTCCACCATGGGTGATCCTGCTGGTATTTGAAATGCTGGTGGCATAGCTTCCAGAATCACAGCAACTCACAAGCCACCACAGTACGACAAACTGACAGTGACCCTATAGAAGTGAACAACTGCCCCCTAGTGTTACCAAGATTGTAATTTTTACAGAAACAGACTGCCAAATCTTTTCTCCCTTGGACAAGCTGGTAGGTTTGAACTGCCACACTTTAGGTTGGGAGCCAATCGCTTAACCATTGTGCTCCCAGGGGTCCTCAAATGTGTAATGGTGGTGGTGGTGGTCAGGTGCCAAGGAGTTGAATCCAACTCATAGCAATCTTTTGTAGGGTATCTAAGACTATAAATCTGTACAGGAGCAGAAAGTCTCCCCTTTCTCCCACAGAGCACATGGTGGACTCAAATTACTGACCTCCTGGTTAGCAGCCCAGCACATAACCCACTATGTTACCACTGCTCCTATATAGTCCTCATATATCTGGGTAAGAAGGTTTCTCCAGATGTCAACTTTTTCAGACAAGGAAGCCCAACTCCTCTAAGAGTCAAAGTTTGGTTTATGTTAAAACAGCTCACGACACAAAAGGAAGATCTGAGCCACCAAGGGGAAATGTCTGTGCTGTCACCAGAGAGTCAGTTTCTGTGTCTGCTGTTGAGGTCTTCTGTCTTCCTTGACTTACTGGCCCCCCGTCTCCTTGCGTCTTGCCTTCCCTTTCCTCTGTCACCTAACCTCCTTCTCATTTGCCCCAATTCTCAATTACCAGGTAAAATTGTGTCTTACATAAAAACCACCAGGAGCAGAATTAATATCTGTTATGGATTGAACTGTGTTCCCCAAAATAGGTACTGTAATACTAGTCTCTATACTAATGGATGGAATCCTGTTTGCCAATGGGCTTTTCTTTGGTCATATCCAAGAGGGAAGGGTCCTAAACCTAATCACTTTTAAGTTATAAATGAGCAGACTAGGCACAGAGACACACACAGATGCCAAGGAATGTCAAGGATTCCAAGGATTGCTGACAGACACCAGAAACTAGAGGAGGGGCTCACAGAAGAAATGAACATGCCAAGACCCTGATTTGGTCTCTTTGTCTCCAGAACTGTAAGAAAAGATTAATTTATGCTCCTTAAAGCCATCTACTTGTAGTCTTTCTGTTACGAAGGCACTAAGGTCCCAGGGACTCAAAGGGGAGAGCTTTCTAGCCCTAAAAGATGCTGTGATTCTGCTGCCCAGGTCCGGCTGGTCTGAGAGCCCCTGGTGGCAGGGGCTGCACTCACATGGTGAAGTTCTCCTCAAGGAAGCAGCGGTTACGCAGCAGGCCCGCCCAGAGCTGCACGCCAATGATGCCAAAGATGAAGAAGACGAAGAAGCAGAGTAGGAGGACATTCCCCAGCATGGGTAGAGTATCCAGGAGCAGGTTCACCAGGATCCGCATACCTGGGGTGAGACGGGAAGCAAAGGCCCAGAGAGGAGAGAAAGGGGAGAGCAAGGTTAGAGAAACAGAGAGAAGAGAAGGACACAACAGGGCTTGTAGCTGCCTCCTGCCTGCTCAGTGGTCACCAGACCGAATCTCCCCTCAGCCTAAAAGGTCATGTAAAAAGGCTCTGGGTCCTGCCCGACTTACAGCAGATTGTGGATGAACAAGCGGGGAATTTATAGAGCACCTTTTATGTAATAAGCACTCTTCTGGATACTTGTACAAATATGATCTCCTCCAGTCGTGAAAACCCTGTGAAGTTGGTAATACTACCCATATTTTATAGAGGAGGCAAATGGAGGTTCAGAGAACTAAAGCTACTTGCCCCAGGTCACACAGCTAAAGAGTGTCAGGGTCTGGATTGAAATCAAGTGTCCTAATACCACATCTAATGTTTTTCCCACCCCATTCCATCCTATTCCCACCAGGTACCTGAAGGCCTGGGACCCAACTGCTCACCTCCATATATTCTGTACCGACATAGGCCAGTCACAGTACCTGCCAACTAATTCAGGAATCCTGAATGCCCTTCATCTCCCAACCCACCCCAATCCACTGATCATGCCAGCACACACCAGTGCCAACCTGCTGATCTACCCCCTGAACCCAGAGTTGCGATAAGAACCATCATAGCCTATACTTATGGATGTTGTTGTTGTTGTTATGTGCCGTGGAGTCGGTTCCGACTCATAGTGACCCTGTACAGAGTTTCTGAGGCTGTAAATCTTTACGGGAGCAGAAAGCCTCATCTTTCTCCCGCAGAACAGCTGGTAGTTTCGAACTGCTGACCCTGAGGATTGCAACCTGATTTGTAACCACTACGCTACCAGAGCTAGTAGCTCAAAATACCAACTGAGAGGAACAGAGTTTCACATCAAGTATCAATCCTATCCCCTGTGTATACAGGGTAGATAGGGACAGGCAACTTAGACATTGGCTACCTAAAATGAGGGAGCGATAAAGACACAAAAAGTGACTGGCTTACAAGTTTTCAAGAGGAAGTTCAGTTTAAGAGTTTACAGGGGAAGATAGAGTCCCCACTGAACAGTTTTCATTTTGTCTAGATGGATATGGTGAAAGGAGATGGGTATAAGATTCTTATGATTCAATAGTGAGTAATTGTTATCATGACTAATTGCAACTGTCACAACTGTAAAGGTAGAAGTTTTGTAACAAAACTGGGGAGTAGTTAATCTTACAGTCCAGAAACAAAGGACCCTAGGACCATCAAGGGAGAAGAGCACAAGCAGAACACAGGACCGTATCCAGAGAAGCAGCAATACCAAAGATGGAGACAGAGACGAGGACATGGAGAGAGGGAACAGCTGAGGACTCCAGACTCATGGAAAGAGAAAGGCTGAGTGCTGGCTAGCAGGAAGCAGGCTTGCAGAATATGCCCTTTGGTTGTTTAAATTATTATATATTCCTGAGTATTCTTGTGTACATCTCCCCACCCCATCCCCAGAAAAAAAAAAGAAAAACAGAGGTAATGGAAGCAAATCCTGTTGAATGATGACACATGGAGGAGATTGTAATCATTGCAATGAAACAATGTGTGTAAAGCAGAAGTTCTCCCATGTAAACTATCACTCAGTTCGTTGTGGGCAGGTTGAAGGGCTCAGATCTGCCTTGATGCTGGGAGAACAGGCCTTTTTTTGTTACTGAGAAATAGTTGTGATGAACTAGCTGTGGGAGACTTAAGGAGAGAATGGAATGATGACAGGAGTCTCCTGAGAGGTGATGGGGTGATCTGAGGGTTCATGGTGAAATGAATTCCTTTATGTGGCCTATTACCTCGGTTCTTGGCAAAACAGCTTGAGAGGTTTTTTCCCCACTAAGCCCTGAGGAGCTACCTTTGCCCTCATTTTCTACCCTAAAGGATTTCTTACTTTTGTCCAGGTTGGTAGACATTGTTGGATAAGCTGTAAACAGCTTGTGGTTTTAAACTTGATATCCGGCCCTGGGTTGCAGCCTGCCCTGTGATTGGTCTATTTTATGCACTTTGTAGAAACTAGCCAATATACTTAGCAAATGAAGTTACTATACTTGGCAAATGAAATCTCTGTAGCCTACCTAGAGAGGATTGGTCAGCTGTGGTCCTGGTGAAAAAGCCATGCCTTGCAACAGACCAGGAGTTTGTTTATATAAACAGCCATTATATATATTTTTTGCTTATATCTGTGAGCAGAGGTGAGCAGACAGAAGCAAGAGGAAGAAAGAAGAGAGAAGAAGGACCGTATTCAGAGAAGCAGAGACAAAGGCAGACATGAGGACATGAGAGAGAGAGCAGCTGAGGACTCTAAACTCACGGGAAGAGAAAGGCTGTGTGCTGGCAGCCAGGAGGGAGGCTTGCAGAATGTGCCCTTTGATTGTTTAAATGATTATATATTCCTGAGTGTTTTTGTGTACATCAAAAAAAAAAAAAAAAAAGTGAGGGAATAGAAGCAAATACTGTTGAATGATGATGCATGGAGGAGATTGTAATCATTGCAATGAAATGAGATAAGATGGGTGCAAAACTGAAGTTTTCCCATCTAAACTATCACTCAATTCACAATAAAAACTTAAATAATAATAAGAAGAGAGAAGAAGCAGGGGGCGGGGCAAGGACCCTCCTATAAGCCACTGAGAGGTCCAGCTGCGGTGACAGTAGAAACCTGCTGCAGGCGTGCAGCTAGGAGCTGGGTCATGAGCTGGGTCAGCAGCAGAGAGGCGGAAGCCAGAGGGGAGGTCTACACAGCTGAGAGGAGACATGCATGGCAGAGGGGAGAGCCTGCTTGCTTGCAGGGCTGAGAGGAGGTGAGCATGCTGTATTGTACCAAAGAAGGGAAGTGTGTGCTCTCCACTTTGGGGGAGACTTAGAGACTGCCTCCATGTTTCCTGGCCCTGAGTCCTACCCTGTTACTTTCTAATAAACTATCAATGGTGCTGTGGGTTAGGCATTTGGGCGGTTCAAACCCACCCACCACCTTGAAGAAGAAAGATGAGGCTTCCTGCTCCCGTACCTATATATCATCTCAGAAACCCTATATAGAGTCACTGTGAGTCAGAATTGACTCAGTGGCGGTGGGTTTGCTTTGGAACTGTGAGTGTGGACTCTGAATTCAGAGTGACCATTGCAATGAGTTATCAAACCCGTGGAGGCACAGAGAGCTTTATGGGAGGGACTTGGTTTAAAACAAACAAACAAAAAAACCTGGAGACTGAAGGTGTTTCTAATCTCCAGCTCATAGGAATCGGCTGTAGGCTGATCCTGATTCTCGTTAGCCTCCCAGGAGGTAGACGGGTTCAGATGCCATTACTAACCTTTCACAGGGAGTTTCGAGTAGCCATGGGAAGGAGGCTAGACTGTGTGGCTAGAAGTCAGACCCCAGTGCCCTGATGGCAGGCAGAAGGGCTGAGGAAAGCATACAGCCCTGAATTTACAGAGAGCCTGGTTCAAATCCCAGCTCTGGGTCTTGTGAGCTGTGGGATCACGGGCCAGTCAGTCGTTCCCCATCTTGGAGAACAAGGCTCCTCAACAAAGGACCCAAGAGGACAGCGGCCACCCTGCCAACGTTCCCAGGATCAAAGTCCACGTGTAGACGGAAATGGAGGCGAAGGGGAAACAGCTTATTCAAGGCACTCAGCTTGACAAGGTTCCGGCTAGAATTAGGACCTGGCCCCCTGACTGCGGAGCCTGGCCTTCCAGCACGTGTACACAAAGCATCCCTCTGCACAGAGTGGCCTGTACAGAGGCCCTACTGGTCAGTTCAGGGGTTCATGATGAGCGCAGAATTAGAGCAACATCACCCTGCTAAGCAGTGGTATCTCTCAGTGCACCCTAGGACTCCCACTCCACAGAGAAAATGGGAACCTTCCTCAACTCCTATGTCTTCACCCACACTTAGCACCCTTCCCATCTATTTTTCACCTTTCCTTCCTCCCGCCCCCTCCTGCCAAGGGCTAACCCCTCTGCACTCCCCACCCCTCTACTCTCTCTCCATAGACACAGTGCTGGCTCTCCCAGGTCCAGATGATGTCACCTAGGGTCATAACCTCAGTTACCATCTGGATATTGTATACTTCCATCTCAGTCCAGACTTCCCTCTTGACTCCACCACAAGGAGATCCAGCAGCCCCAGTCCCCCACCCACCCCCATGCCCAGAAAATTCACAGGACTACAAATCCCGGATCATGGGTCACTTCAGGGAATTCACCCATCACCCCTTTCCTCCTAGACTTATGAGAACAGCACCCATTTTGCGTAGGGAATCAACGAACAGTCCCTCACTCCAGTGCATGTGATTGAGTGAAGCTGATATGAAGATTACAAGACCTAGGACTGGCAATCAGCATGTTCCATTCCCTAGTCCCCACCTCACCCCCCAGTGATTGGCTCAAGGTAGGCATGTGACCCCAATCAGGACCAATGAGAGTCAGCCCTGGGACTTCTGGAGCCACGTGATCTCTTTCTGCAGAGGTTGCTGGGCTGGGAAGAGGTAAACCCAAAGGTTGTTGTTGTTGTTATGTGCCATGAAGTTGGTTCTGAGTCACAGCAACCCTGAGGCTGTAAATCTTTACAGGAGCAGAAAGCCTCATCTTTCTCCCACGGAATGGCTGATAGGTTCCAACTGCTGACCATGAGATTAGCAGCCTGATTCATAACCACTACACTACCAGAGTAGTCAAGAAAACAAAAATCCTCACCACTGACCAATAAACAACATTCTTATCAA